AATTAATGAATACATAAATCTCCAAAATGTAACACAGTAGGCACTCAATAAATTTATATTGAAGAAATGAAGTTGTCACAAAATTATCATTGCAATCATAATCACTGTGATTAACTTAGTCTTTTCAAATATTGTGATTTGAACTGGTGGTAATGTGGACACTGTTCAGACATGCTAGAGGAATGATTACTCTTATAAAGCAGACTCACTCCTGTGTGTAAGCATAGAACAAACAGAAAACTAATATTTGTCTTCCTTTTTAAATTAATTTGCTCTTCTTTTCTCATTATTTTCTTTGTCTTTCTGAATATTTACCAAGCTCTCAGTGATGATGAAATAAACTTGAAAATATAGAAATTGTAATAAAATTTGATAGTGCTGTAGTAGAGATTGGTTCCAAGTTAGAGAGGAATATTTCTCTATGGGAGGAAATGAGACATGGGTTGGATCAAGTTGAAGTTATACTGTGAATGACCAGCGTTTAGAAGACAATGTGCCTGGGTTGCTTTTAATACACTATAATTTTAACTTATAACATTTACAACTATTATTAGGTATCTGTGATCACATAGTTAACATATATCATCCCATGAGCTATGATGACAGGGATCATTTATCATATTAATTATTTTTTCCAAGATATAGCAGAGGACATGGATTCAATAGATATTTAATATTCATAGAATGAATGAATGAAGAATGAGGCTTTCATGATCTGTGAATGAAATACTTGTTAAGTGGATTAATTAATAGACTGTAATCAGAACATTATTCTAAAAGAGAATGTGAACATTAGAGTGGACTGGTAGCTGCTTTATCAGAGATGGGACCAAGGAAAGGATCTGCTTGGTGGAATGGATAGTCTGAGAATCTATACTTATTCCATACTGACCATGATATAGAACTTGATGTCCATGGACCTGTCATAATGGCCCAGAAAAGAAGCAGAACACTCAGTTAATCCAAGATAGTGAAATTTGTCTAAGATTGGGTTCTCTAGAAATAGACTCTGAGGCAGAGATATGCATACAGGAAGTTTATTGTGAAGTAGACTTGGGAGCAACACCTGAGCATGAGGGAAACAAGATGGAGCATGGAAAGAAGTTAAACTATGATCAAATTTCCCCAGATGCCTGAGATTATTCTAGGGGAGGCTCTTGAGAGGAATGACACTTCAATGTTATTTTGTATTGAATAAAGAGGGTCAAGTCTTTATATTCCTATATAAACCAGTCATTGAGTGAGAGCTGAACTCAGATAAGAAAATAAATTTTGGGTGAGTCAGTTCTTTTTGCTCAAGTGAGAGTAACTCAATTATGAGCTTTTAGCAGCCAACACTCAGAGCGGATGGAGGAGTGAACACATTTAACTACAGAGACCGCTAAAGAAATAATTTGACCTGTGAGAATGAGAAGTATGAGCTTAAAGTGCTCATATGTAAAGTTTCTTAGTTCATTGAGCATGAGGTTTCCTATCACAGCCATCAGTATGTACAGATTTAGGGATGATGACCAACACTAGACTGATGTGGGCCATTTGGCCAGGTGCAGGTGCCACTCCCTGCTCAGTCTATCTGCCCAATCAGCTATCCCTGGGGCAGTAGACTTAATTCTGTGTGCTTCCAACCAAGCTGGAGGCTAACTTTGGCTCTGTCTAGGTGTGTCTGTGTGTCCTCTGGGACCCGCCAATTATTAATAACATCTCGCCTGCCCAGTGCTTTATTCACAGTTACCTGTTTTGCATTGGGGAAGAATCAAGAATAGACTCACCTTTCAGAGTGAAGATGGCAGAACCAGCTAAAAGTTTGTTATGGGATTTCCAGTATGGAAAATGAGGTCAAGTTTGAGGCTTATGGATTTGAGGAAGACTACTGACAGCTCATTTCTTCTGCCTTTCCTATAGCCCTTGTGATAGCAGTTATTGCTTGGTTGGCTGTTGTGGTTCTGAGTCTTTTAATACCTCTGGTCTGACAACTCTTAGTAGTCTTAAATTTATGTCCTCTTGTCTCAGAGTAGCTGTTCTCCCCAGATCTGACTCCTCAAAACTAACCCTCTCTTTTCAATTTCCTTTAGGTTCTGTCCTACAGATCACACATTGCTGCAAGCTAACTTTTGTGTTCCTGCATCTCCCTTTTACCACTATCATAAAGTTTATGACACTTTTAAGAAGAAGATAAAGGAGACGGGGATAGGCCACAGCCCATAGAAGAGACTCCTTGCCTGCAGCAATAGAGATAGTGACAGAAGTGACCAGTAGTGACCACAGGAGTACTAATTTCTGACATACACCTAGGATTCTGTCACAGCCTCTATGGCAGAGAGATTCAGTGGGGCTCCTTCTGCCATGAAGCACCCAGAATATTGCTACAGGTGAGGATCATTGCAGACTCAGTCTATTTCATGGACATTCCACTGTCTACTACCTCCTTCTCATCCCTTAAGTTCAGTGTTTTGTTAAGTTCCTGCGATTCTTGGTTGTTTTATATACTCATCTATTTATTTTAAAAATTTAGTCATATTTATTTATGCAGCAAACAGCACTGAGTACCAATTAAATTCCAGCACTTCTGGAAATTGCCCTGAGACTGCTGCCATAAGCAAAGCACATCCTTACTCTTCAAGGACGAACACACTGACAGGTTTTCAGGGCAAGGTAATCAGTGCAATGACTGGGCAGGTCAAGTGATTTCATAGGAAAGAAAAGGACACATGCTATACTGAATTATAGAATTTGGAGACAGCTTTACAGAAGACAGGCCATTTGGACTGAATTTACATGAATAATTAAAAAGGCACAACATCAGTTCTTGCTAATTGTCTGTTGCTTCCTGGTCAGAGAGCTAAATATATCTTCACTTTTAGATTCCTGGAAATAAAGTTTCTTCTGCTTTTCCTCTAAGAATCACTGAGATCACTGAGATACCTCTTAATTACTTTAGGAATTACATTTAATAAGCAGTTCTAGGCTTTTCCTCTAGACCCACAAGCAGCACAAAGCAGTGGCAGTTTATATTCAGGCATGTGCATCTCTGCTTCTCTCTTTTGCCCACTGTAGCTTGGCTTCATTCCTCACTGCTCCACTGGCATGGCTTCTGTCAAAGAAATGGGTGGCCTTCTACAAATGTACAGCTGTTCTCTGACTCCTCAGCTAAAAAATCTCAAGTGGGCTGAAATTTGGAGTAGAAGGAGAGTAATTAAGGAAAAAAAATAATTTTCTCACTATATAGAATGTTAAGCACTGAAACATGAATTTTTGTAAGATTGTGAGATTCTTTTGGTGGGGGAGATCTCAATAAAAATATGTCACTGTAACTCGAAGTTAACAGTGGAATTAAATCTGGAAGGGAAAAAAAGCTGGAAGATATATGCCCGCCAGCCATTTCAGATTATGTAGCTGCCATGTTCAGAGGTATTGGGCAATATTGTAGTCATCATTGACTTATAAAAATACTTAAAGTGATCTATAGATGCATAATTCACAAGAACTGAGTCATTCCTAATTATTTTTATATAAACATATACACTTGCATCCTTCTCTTAGATAAAAATATAATTATTTCAAACTGTGTCTATCTTTTAAGACAAGCATTCAAACACAAACAGATCCAGTTTCACATTTTTTTTTGTTTTAATGTCCAAGAGGTTACTCACATGGACAAGGTTAAACAGAATACCTATTTAATTGGTACTTCTTGTTAACATAAGAGTGTCAGAAACACTGAATCATTATCACATCATGATGAGAGACAGACATAGTAAAAGTTTGAAATGGAGCAGACTCATGGAGACAAGGAGAAAAGAGGCCAGTGATCTCACTCAATGATCTTTTATTATTGTTAATATTAATGCTAACTATACTAATGTAAGATGACTAATATAAGATAACCTTTGAAAACCTTGTATGCCAGTCTTAAATGTGTGATATTTTCCCATGGATTAAATCCACTAAATATTTTAACCTCAGAGGTGATATGATGACATCTGCATTTCAGGAAAAACCCAATGACTTCAGTGTGGAGAGTGATTGGAAAGGGTATAATAGCAAAGGCAGAGAGATTAAGGAAATAATCCAGGTGAGAGATGTCAAGAGTGTGAACTAGGCAGTGACACTGGGGGTTGAGAAAAAAGAGTGTATATAAGAGAGGTTAAAAATAAAGTCAATGGTAACTGGTAAATAGGTAAAAGAGATGAGAGATAAGAATGAATGAGGATAGTTTCAAGTTTTTACATTGGAATGGATAGGTAGATAGTGATGTAATTCAAAAAAATTTGGACAAAAAAGAGCAGATTTAGGAAGAATAAGTGAGTTAATTCTGTCTTGAATGTATTGTGTAGTATAGATAGATATTTAGGAAGCAAATGAAAAAATGGATTTGTGTTTCAGCTATTTGACTTAGAAACATAGATTTAAAAGAAATTAAAGTATGTAAATAGTTAAAACCATGAAAAAGGATGAACTCAGTCAGAAATAATGTACAGAATAGGGGAGCAAGGAGAAGATAGAACTCTGGAATCAACAACATATAATGGATCAGTAGATGAAGAAAGTGGTGGGACTACATATACAGGAGAAACGACTGTAGAGTGCTATGTTATGGAAACTGAGGGAGACTAATTTAAAGAATAAGAGATTGATTTACAGTGTTCAGTAATACCAAGAGGTAACAAAGAGAATCCTCTCAAGTAGACAGTTCCAAATTATAAGTAACTGAATGGTAGACTTTAAACATGTCTCTAAAAGCAGTATGTGCTTTCTCTTATCTCTGAATGAAACTAGACCTATCCTAATTTAGACATGTGGATGTCTCAGCTTTAAAAAAAAGTATCTCAAGAAAAGGAAATTTTCTTTCTTGTCTCTTTATTCCCTTTATTCCCTTGTATTTCAGCTTAAGCCTCTTTCTTCTCATGAAGATGGTAGCCAGATCTGGAAAATGTGAAAACTCATCAGAAATGGAGAAATCATGATTTTATTTTCTTCTCTCTTCTCTCTCTGTGTCATTCATGATGGCCCTTAGTAATTCCAGCTGGAGGCTACACCAGCCTTCTTTTTTCCTGATTGGCATCCCAGGTTTAGAGGAAAGCCAGCATTGGATAGCATTGCCACTGTGTGTCCTTTACCTCTTTGCTCTAGTGGGAAATGTCACCATCCTCTTCATCATCTGGACTGACCCGTCCTTGCACCAGCCTATGTGCCTTTTTCTGGCCATGTTATCTGGCACTGACCTGATCCTGGCCTCTTCCATGGCACCCAAAGCCCTTGCAGTGCTCCTGGTTCATGCCCATGAGATTGGGTACACTGTCTGCCTGATCCAGATGTTCTTCATCCATGCATTCTCTTCTATGGAGTCAGGTATACTGGTGGCCATGGCTCTGGATCGCTACGTAGCCATATGTTACCCTCTGCACCATTCCAGCATCCTGCATCCAGGGACCATAGGGCGCATTGGAGTAGTGGTGCTGGTGCGAGGATTGCTTCTCCTCCTCCCATTCCCTATCCTATTGTGGAGACTTGTGTTCTGTCAGGCCACCGTCATAGGCCATGCATATTGTGAACATATGGCTGTGGTAAAACTTGCTTGTTCAGAAACCACAGTGAACCGAGCTTATGGGTTGGCAGTGGCACTGCTTGTGATTGGCATAGATGTCCTGGCCATTAGTATTTCCTATGCCTTCATCCTCCAGGCAGTACTGAAGGTACCAGGCACTGAGGCCCGAATTAAGGCCTTTTACACATGCGGGTCTCATATTTGTGTTGCCCTGGTCTTCTATGTTCCTGGCATAGTTTCTTTCCTCAATCATCGTTTTGGCCACCATGTTCCCCATCACATTCATGTTCTTCTGGCCATACTTTACCTCCTTCTGCCCCCTGCACTCAATCCTCTTGTCTATGGGGTGAAGACTCGGCAGATCCGCCAGCGGGTACTCAGGGTGTTTTACATAAAAGGGTAAGTATAAACACATCCCAATTATTTTCTTCCCATGCCTGATCTAGGCTATATGAATAGAGGGCATTCCACATTGAGATGTCCTTCTAGCCCTACCAGTCTCATGGCAAAGTACTCAAGGACATTTAGTTCCATAGCCAATTGGGATGAACCTGGATAGCTAGATTAATGAATATTTTCCACGTTCATTTTTTTGCTCCTGATCCCAACATTTTCTTACTCCTTGTGATGGAGAAACTTAGGGATAGGGTAAATTGACGATTGCTCTGGATATGCCTTTTTTTTTTTCCTACCTTTAACCAAAGACTGTAACATCATCTGGAATGAGAATGAAATGTCCCAAACTTTGCTTGGTTTTAGTTTTGGAGTCTCCTTGAACCTTCTAAGTGCTGTGAGCTCTAGGACACTGGGCTCCCGTGTAGCAAAACTGTCTCTCTGAAAGCATTTGAGATATCCACAATGTGAGAAAACAACTTTTATTGCAATATGGTTGTTACTCGTTTAGTTAAAAAAAACTTAAGTGGAGCAAGTACTGTAATAGGTTCTAGAAATAATGTTATGATCCTTATTTTTTAAAAATATATTTGTACAGTGGATTTCTTATTTAAAATAATTTTTTATTTTTTAATTACAGTCAATATACAATATTATGTTAGTTTCAGATGTATGACATAGTGATTAGACATTTATATATCTTACAAGTGATCACTCCAATAAATCTAGTAGCCATCTGACACCATACATAGTTATTAAGATATTATTGACTATATTCACTATGCTATACTTTACATCTGCATGACCAATTTGTACCTCTTAATCCTTTCCCTCCCTTCACCGATCCCCCAAACCCCCTTTAATCTGGCAATGCTCAAAATGTTCTCTGTCTCTATGAGTTTGTTTCTGTTTTGTTTGTTCATTTATTTTCTTTTTTAGATTTTACATATAAGTGAAATCACATGATATTTTTCTTTCTCTGTCTAACTTATTTCACTCAGCATAGTACACTCTATGTCCATCCATGTTGTTTTTTACGGCAAGATTTCAGTCTTTTTATGGCTAAGTAATGTTCATTGTTTATATGTACCACTTTTTTGTCCATTCATCTATTGTTGGACATTTAGGTTGCTTCCGTATCTTGGTTATTGTAAATAATTCTGCAATAAACATATAGACACATATGTCTTCTTAAATTAATGTTTTGGGTTTCTTTGCATGAATACTCAAAATAGAATTACTGGGTCCTTATTTATCTCTTGTTATAGGCTTTGTTTTAATGTCTCTTTTGTCTGGTATAAAATTGCTACCCCAGATTTTGTTTTTCATTTTCATTTTCATAAAATGTCTCTCTCCATCCCTTTATTTCAATCTGTGTGCATCCTTTGATTTAAAGTGAGTCTTTTAGGGCGGCTCCATAGTGTAGTGGTTAGCACGTCTGCTTTGCACGCAGAAGGTCCTGGGTTTGCACCCCAGGTCCTGGGTTCATGCCCCAGGTAGAGCCATGGGCCATACCCTCGGTGCACCAAGCCCCATGTGCACCAGGCCCCCCAGTTGTGCCAGGCCCCCTGAGTGCACTGGCAGTGCCAGGCCCTGGGTGCGCCAGGCCCCAGGTGCTTGCTGTGAGCATATGGGAGGGGACACCCTGCCTTTAGAGATCCAGTTCTCAAGGGGAAATGGCAACAACCATGGGTCAGGGGTGGAAGTGGGAGGGGGGAATTAAAGAGGGGGAAAAAAATAAAGTGAATCTCTTGTAGGCAGCACATGTAAGGGCCTTGTTTTCTTATCCATTCAAATATTCTATGTCTTTTGCTTGAAGCATTTAATCCATTTATCCATTTACATTGAAAGTAATTGTTAATAGGTATATAGTTATTGCCATTTTATTATTCATATTTTTTAAATCTTTTTTTCCTTCTTCTTAAAGAAGTTCCTTTAACAGGTCTTGTAATACTGATTTGATAGTAATCAACTCCTTTAACTTTTTCTTGTCTGGGAAGCACTTTATTTGGCCTTAGATTATAAACGATAGCTTTGCTGGATAAAGTAATCCTAGTTGTAGGTCCTTGCTTTTCATCACTTTGAATATTTTGTTCCAGTTTCTTCTGGTCTGCAAAGATTCTGTTGAGAAATCAGTTGACAGTCTTATGGGAGCTCCCTTGTAGGTAACTAACTACTTTTCTCCTGCTGCTTTTAAAATTCTTTCTTTGTCTTTAACCTTTGACATTTTAATTATGATGTATCTTGGTGTGGGCTTCTTTGGGTTCATCTTGTTTAGGCCTTCTGCACTTCCTGGGCTTGTAGATCTATTTCTTTTGCAAAGTTAGGGAAGTTTTCTTCAAATAAATTTTCAATTCCTTGCACTCTATCTTCTTCTGGTACCCCAATGATGCAAATGTTATGCTTGATGTTATCCCTGAGGCCTCTTAAATTATCCACATTATTTGGATTTTTGTTTTTGTTGCTGTTCTGGTTGGGTGTTTTCTGCTACCTTATCTTCTAAACTGCTGATTCAATTTTCTGCTTCATCTTATCTATTGTTAATTCCCTCTAATGCATTCTTCATTTCAGTTATTGTATTCATTTCTGACTGGTTCTTTTTTGTATTTTCTAGCTCCATTTTTACATTTCCTATCTCTTTGTTAAAGATCTCACTAAATTCAAGCTCCATTTTCTAGCTCCATTTTTATGTTTCCTATCTCTTTGTTAAAGATCTCACTAAATTCATCTACTCTTCTCCTAAGTTCACTGAGCATTCTTATTAAAGTGTTTTGAACTCTATATCTGGTAGAATGCTTGTCTCCATTTAGTTTAGTTTTTTTTTTTTTTTTTTGCCCCCAGAAGTTTGTTCTGTTCTTTCATTTGTGACATGTTTCCTTGTCTCCCTATTTTGGCTGTCTCCTTGTGTTTGTTTCTATTTATTAGGTAGAGCTGCTATGTCTCCCAGTCTTGGTAGAGTGGCCTTCTATAGTAATACCCTGTGGGGCCCAGTGGCACAGTTTCCCTTGGTCACCTGAGCTGGATGCTCCAGGTGTGTCCCTTGCATGGGTTGTGTGTACCCTCTCGTAGTTGAGCCTTGGTTGCTATTGGCACATCAATGAAAGGGATTAATTCTCAGGCTGATTGGTTGTGAGGACTGGCTATGACCACAGTGGAAGAACTGTTTTGCAAGGGCTGACCCTAAGGAGCAGGATTTGCTTAAGTGGGGCTCTGTTGCCTGCCAAGTCTGACTTTTGGGTGTGTCATCTGTGGAGGTGATTGGGTGATACTCTGGTGTGGTCTGAAGCTGGCCATCAGGTGTGTTGGTTCTGGGATCTCTTGGGAGGAGTTCTGATGCAGGCCAAGGTCAACGTCTGCTGTGCCCAGACTGGGACCACCTGATATGAGCTACAAAGTGATCTGTAGATGGTTGCTGCATGTGTTGGACTTGGAGGCACCTGGGAGAAGTTAAGCTGAGAACTGAGGCTGGCTTCCACTAGTCCCAGGCTTGAAGCTGCTTAGCAAGAAGTATGGGGTATGCTGAAGTTAGTCGCTGCTTGTTTGAGGTTTGTGAACCTTTGAGAGATATTAGGAAAGTCTACAGCCTAAGCTGAGACAGGCTGTCTATATGGAAAAGCTGCTGGAAGTGGCTTGGGTGGGCCTCAAAGTTGGGTGGAGCATGGTCTCAGGGAATCAGCAGGGCCAGGCTAATGGTGTTAGCCAGGCTGATGGAGACTTAGACTCTATGCCTGTCTATACCTACACATGCAGATTTGATGGTGGAAAGGCTCAACAAAGGAACAATGGTATCTGCCAGAACTTCTGTCTGGGAGAAAGCTGTCCTTCTGGCTTTTGCCCCAAAACAGACAATTTAGTTTTCCCCCATATGTCCCTGATGACTTTTGAGCTACTGCCCCAGAGCTGGAGCTCTGAGTGAGTGAGTTAGTCAGCAAGTAAGCCCGTGTGTGAGTCCTTTAAGAGAAATGCTTGAGACTCCAGCAGCCCCCCGCTCAATCAGGCACCATCTCCAATGGTTTTTACAGCCAAAAGTTATGAGGACTTCTCTTTCTGGCACTGGAATCCTGGGATGGGGAGCTTGGTGCAGTGCTTGGACCCCTTGCTCCTCAGGGGGGACCTCTGCAGTCGAGAGATCCTTCTTGATTTTTAACTGCCACAAGTGGGTGTGAGACCAGCTTGATTTTTGTCTCTGTCTCTCCTACCAGTCTTGAGGTGGCTTCTTCTGTATATCCTTAGTTATAGGACTTCTGTTCAGCTAGACTTTAGGTGATTCTCAATGATGATTGTTCTGTAGTTTAGTTTTAATTTTGAGGTGGTAGTGGGTGGAGGCCCACACAATGTATATCTACGCTGCCATCTTGACTAGAAGGCTCATGGTGGATTTCTTTTTTAAAAAGTCTGTATTCTTAATTTATTGCATTTTAATTAATTTTTCTTAGGATAAAGAGAAAATAAGACAAAGTATTGAATATAAATGTGTTTTATAAGGATTAATTTAACAAAGCAAAAGTAGCCATGTAATTATTATTCAATAACTACAAAATGTTCTAGAGTTTGGGGCTGGTAAACGTAGCTTTATTCATAAATGTAGAAGTATTTATACTACTTGAAAATGAATTTCTTTTTCTGAAATGTGGATATGGAGTGAGGTAAATTAATTCTCCCATTTCTGCTAACAGGAACTGGGTAAAAACTCACAAGAGAATTGTCACAATTGGTGTATTACATCCTTTTTGTTGAATGTTGCCCTAAGATTTGGCTTAACTTTTTTGTGTGCCTAAAATATAACACATTTTGTTTAGTCCTGGAAGAAGTCAAGTCACTGCTACCTTCAGTAGGATGTTCAGGTGAGGGGAGGATCCTATCTTGGATTTGATAGTGGTAGGAGGGTGGAGTGGATAGTTATTATTTTCACTTTCTTCTTTGTAAATTTTACTCTTTATAGTTTTCTGTTACAGAGTTTGAGTGTTAAGTCTTTAATTTGGTTGGCATATGAGAATGAATTAAGAAGGA